ATAGTTAAGGATATAACCTTATCTCTTTATTACCTTAATCTCTTTTATCCTTATATAGATAAAGCTAAGGTTATATTATTACTTAGCTACTACCAAAATTTACGCCAATTCGAATTGTAACCTATTTTAAGTATAACTCTAGGAGTGCCATAATATCATATTAAAGTAGTGACATAAAGAATTAGCGTAGGGCTTTATTAATATTAATAGACCCTAAAGATATTAACTATTAATACCTAAACTATCTTTACACCGGTTTAGCCCCTTAATCTCATTAGATATTAATATCTTACTAAGCTCACATTACTAGCAATAGAAGCCATGAAGTTAGAAAATAGTTATAAGTCTCTTACACGAATAGTCTTATTTCTAACGTCATTAAAATTCTTAATCTTAGTTATGGCCTAGCGTGAAAGAAGTGACACTCTTTACTTAGAACTATATTAATACATTGAAAACGAATAACTCTCGCTCACTCTCAGGACGTTAAATATTATTTAGAAGCGTAGTTATACCTATAAGGCCCCTAAAATAAGAAAAGTTAAAAATTCTTATGCATTTTGTGGAATTATCTTTAGTTTAAGGCTCTCTTATTAATAGACTATTAACTAAAAATAATATTCTCACTACTCTGCGCAGGGCTTAAAGGGCATTATAATTAATGAGTAAATGCGAAGGAATAATTAGCCCATTTTTTTCAGAAGAGAGTGTTCACTTTCATTAATTCTCCTATTAATTCTCCTCAATTTCTAGCCTAAAAATTATCTATTCTTTAAGTTCTTAATAAATACTGTACTATCTTTTAGTGTGAATAAAACTCATTATATATGTACATATAGAAATGTACAATATAACAGAACTATAAAAGGACTAAAAGTTATTATTTATTATTTAAGAATACTTATAGTAAGGGTAGAATAAAAATAAAAAGATAATTTAAGGGGGCTTCTTTTTTAGAATTATCATAAACTTATTCTAAGAATGGCTCACTAATAAATAGTTATCTTTACTCTCCCCTAAGAATAAGTAAGAAAGATAATCTAATTCTTTACTAAAGTTATCTTTAAAGAGCTCTCACTCCCTTCTTAATCCCTTTATTAAGGCTTAAATTACATTACTTCTTAAAACGTACTTATACTTTACTATAATTATTAATAAACCTATAAAGTGATAATTTAGAATAATTTAACTTTGCCTAACTTTTTCTATCTATATTCTTATCTATATTATTAGAGTATTAAGGTTACTAGGAGCCTAATTAACGGGGAATACTTTTTCTCACTAGATAATTCGTGACTAGACCATTATTTAATGGATAATATATCGCTAACTTTTCTTATCAGGGAAAGAATCTTCTCCCTTATACGCTTATCCTACTTTAACTAAGAAATACTTAAGGATATTTAAGTCACCCTTCTTTAGGTTAAAAGCTTACTATACTAATGTTTAGCAATATACTCTCCTAACTATAGCTTAGCTACGAGTGAATTAGTTAGTCCTAACACATTAATTATAAGTAACAAAACTATTATAAATAAGTCTTATCTTTCCGCTAATTTTTATACTGCAGTGTTAAGCTTAGATAACCTACTTATTTTTCCTTCTAACTAGAAATTTAATACACTAGCAGTTAAATTAACCCCTTTATCTATAAATACTATTATCATAATAGGCTAATTCTTTAATTATGATTTCTACAGCGCGGATTAAATAGTACTAATAAATATGCCCCTATAGTAAGAAGACATAGAAAGGGAATGCGATCAGAGATATAACTAGATTAAAATTGTTTATGAGAACACAAATAAGAAGGACTTCCCTTAGGAAGAGGAAGTTATAACATAAGGAACCTAAACTTTTATAACCTAGGAGGCAAGTTATGTTAATAATATAAGCGCTAATAAGTGCACCTAAGCGTCACTAAACAGAGTATAATCTTACTATAATAAAGAGAAGAGCTAATATTCTTAGTGATTAATTGACATGTGATTAAGAGTGAAAAATAACGGAAGTGTTAGGTGCGCCATAGTTCTAAGATAGGTGCGAGGCTATAGCCCCTAACGCTAAAAGCTTAGCTTAGCGATTAATTATAATCTATAGATTATCTATAAAAATTTCCATTAACGCGTATAGGCCCTAGTATACTGTATCTCTCTCCCTTTATTTATGATATACACTAAGTATGTTATGCCTAACCGTCAGTATTTTTACTATATAGGTAGCTAAGATAACTAGGTATAAAAGGGATTAAAGGCCAAATTATGAAATGTAAAATCTAATACCTTAAAAAATCTGCTGTGCCTAGATAGGTTTTCTCTATTAAGTAGGCTAAGAAAATAATATAAGAATTATACCCCACGAAAAACCAATTTAAGTTTAGAATCGCACGTTAGCACTACTATAGGAAACTTTATTGCGCTAAGTGCCTCTATACATACTCAGATCGCATTCTTTCTCATTATAGATATTAATCTTAATTTAGGTCTACCTTTAAGTATTATATTTCTAATATTAGAACTCAGAGCATTAAGTGTTTAGAAAGTAGTCTTATTTAGACCTTAGATCCCTAAGGATTAACACTTTATCTCTACTAAGGACTTCACATATAATTACCGCTAAATTTCCCCTAAAGTTGCCCTAGTTACTATTTTCATAGCACTATATTACCACATATTTAAAAATTATTATTATACTAAAAAAGTTTATACTATAATATACTTAACTTTAAACGACTATTAGTTTTCCTTACCCCTTCTATACAGCTAGTCTTATCCATACCTTTCAATACACCAAATCTTTTTCGCTGTTAATGTCCTAGCGATACACTTACTGTCCTTAAAGGTTCTACTTATAACATGAGCTAGGCAGACACCCTAGCCTATTTAAACAATTGTTTTAACATAATAAGTTATAGAAATTTAAGAGTGAGCTAATAACTAACTATTTTTAGCTTTAATATACTTAACAATCTTCCGATCTAAATATGTGGCTAACTTTGACTATCACTCTAAATACCCTGTTCACCTAAACTTTTATTGCACATTATGGATTTCCATTCTATTAGGTAGTGAATAATTAATATGTATATATAGGGCTAGTTTCCGAGACTTAGTTACTTTCATTAATTCTTTAGTTAAGAAAAGAATTTATATCCCTATTAGTTATCACATAGGATATAACCTTAAATATAGTGATATAATAATGAGATAAACTAATGAGATAATCTTAGGGAAATAGTATATATATAGTCATAATACTATATAATAACTTTGATCTTAAGATTTAAGGGATATAACTACATAAATTTAGAACTTTACAGGACCATTATACCTTAATGTAGCTAAATAATTCCGCTAAGAGTTAGAGGCTAAAGTAAGTCTAATATAATAACTATTTAGTATTTCGTCCCAGATTCTTAGCCTGTCGATTATCGCTTTCGGCGGTCTCGCTCGCCCGTTTACTCACCCCAATCACACTCTTCTCACAGTCGACGCGCTCCACGGCTCATCCGCCGCGCACCTTGACATCACCCGACTCACCCTCGACTCACCCTCGACTCAACCACGCAGCCACCGGGCGCCGGCCGTTCTGATAGGTCGACCTGGGTCGGCGGAGTGCGCCAGGCTGTACCCCCCTTGCTGGCAGCGTGGGCCAATCCGCGGCGGCCGTGTGTGATATGAGAGTCGACGTGGGACCGAAGGGCACAATGGCGCCGTCTACGGTACAACACAGCATGAAGCGACACACAGTAAAAGGGGGCAGCCATCATGCTCCTGAAAATCCTAGCACCGTTGGGCCCCTGTTGCGCCGACGTGGCCGCGCAGTCGTGGTTTTATGGCGCCCTCCTTTCCCCCCTGCCTGCCCGAGAGAACTTGGTATGATATTAATACACCAGGCAGGCCCCCTCGTTCACTGGAAGCCTGGACTTCTTGTTTCCCTGCCCTAGTGACCTCTGGTAATCTTATGTGTCCTTGAGACTGACGAAGATATTCGCGTCCTATGGCTATCTCTCTGACGCCGCGAGACCTAGAGCGTAAGAAGCTCCGGGATTCCAACGGATTCGTTGACGCCGTACGGACGACTGATGATTCCCTCACTCTGAAACCCGTCAGGGACAGGACAGCGAACAACTACAAGACCGTCTTGCATGAATGGGACCTGTATGTGTCGTCTCAGCGCCTTCGGATTTGAGGCGATCTCCTCTGATGCTTCGACAGGTTCGCCCAAGAATATTCGGAACTCTTTCCAGGATGTAGGCCGAGCCCCACGCAGGCCAAGATAGCGAAAGACTTTCTCATCTTCTATAGAAGAGGAAGGCAAGGTAAAGGTCGAGTAGACAGGGAACGCAAGATCGTAGACTCAACCGCGAAGACGTTCTGGAAAAATTTCATGACCGCGTGGCAGCGGAAGACGGGCGACCATTTCTCGAAGCCCCTGCGTTCCACAATTCTAAACGTACGTGGAGGTTCCCGGCTATTGAGCAAGTTGATTCTGACGAAGTTCGCAGCTCATCGATGGAGGCGACGATAACGTTCTGGATCTGTCTAAAGAGAGGAGACCGACCAAAAACTACACTCTTCTCGACTTCGAGGCCGTTTCTCGTCAGCTGTGGCAGAACGACTGGCATGATTATCACCACGAGTTATACCGGTGGGGGTTGCACTGTCTTCAACTTCTCCACTGTGGGACATCTGCTCGCGCCGGCGAATTCGAAATGAATCTTCGGTTCCGTGTAGGAAAAAACATCTTTACGAGATGCCAAGACATACTGACCGCTTGTATAGGATATTGGAATTTATCAAGTCTGGATGACCGATCAGCCACAGATCGTGTTTGACCTCCGGCGAGACAAGGCCAAGGGCCTTCAAGATCTACCTCGAGAGCAGTAAGTTCCTCCTGGGTCTAGGGGATTTTCCAGAATACTGACTGAGCCGAGGCCGGAACATATACCCTACGAATTGGTCGGTCAACCATTCTACTACAACCTCGTCCTGTTTATAATGGCGCGGGTTCTCTCAGCGGGAGCGTTGCGACATTACAAGACATGGGCCGACATTTGCTCTATGAGGAAACCCCGCGGGCGGGCCCATCTTTCTCTAGGCTACGAGGATCACTGTCTGGACATGCCTATTTTCCCACGGTGTTACGCGGACGGTTCGGTCGATGAAAGGTTGACCTCGAAGTCTCTGGCCGATCACGCGCTGCCAGACGCGGGTTACCGGACAGGCTTTCGCGAAAGCCTCACGTTTCACGCTTCCCGTCGAGAGGCTCTGTTCAAAGTGGACAGTAAGTGCGGACATTGCAGTCGTTTGGCCGAATCGTGGGCGCTGACCGACCAGATTATGGATATTCCATCAATGAACGTATGCGATTCGGCGCACACCGCCATCAAGGCACCTACCCGGCAGCGTACCAATCGACGATCAGCACGGTTGACGGCCAGGCCACTTTTTTCGAACTTGAGCGTCAAAACCAACGGCTCCATGAGCTCTTCCGCGGGTACTCTTTGCATCGAAACTACAACCATTGGCCGACTTTGCCTGAATATCGAAGGCAGCAACTTGAAGAGTCTGGGCCGGCTGTGGCTGACGAGAAAGCAGTTCCGCCCGTGGACGAACGCGGATGGGACATGAAAAAGCGACAGAGACTCTACGATCAGAAACGCCAGACACGCGAACGGGCTCTGAGGAGTCACCAGACCTGTCCACCTGCAGGGTTCATGATATCTGATGATTTTCCGTACGAGTCGGACTTTGTCTACACGAGGAAGTTGATGCCTGAGCGGGACCGGCTGGCCGAGAATTTATTCAAGGAAGGAAGTCTCCGTGACCCGGTCGGGATGATGATCATGGACGATCTGGTCCGACTGCTCCAGACGAAGAAGTCGCAAACGTACTGCCGGGGGCTCAACGGCTCTTTCGACGTATGCGATACTTGCCATCAACAACGCATTGGGTAGGTGGACGGGTTGCCATTGCCACGACAAATGAGCGCTACTAATCTTTGTATGACAGGTCTAACCGATCTACATGGTGGTCACACGTGTATCGATGCCGAAAAGCGGCGGCCAAGAAAGTCGGGCAATTTCAAGAATTCTGTTTCCCATGCTCCAGGTGGTTCAGCAGTCTGGCCTCTTGGAAGCATCACGCGGCTGAACATCTCCAACCCAGTGAGGAAATGCGTCTCCTGCCGCTGAAATGTAACATCGCGCAATTTCGCCATACCCTCCTGCGGCCGGGATTCTGCCCAGAATGCCTTGGGGGCAAGACTGCCGACCCCGAGGTCCGGTTCCGACAGTACACGAACGTGAGCGAGTGGAAAATGCACGTTCGTCATCACATGAGCCTCCGCGAGCGTGGGCGGTGGGCTTGTTCCCATCCACGCTGCGCAAATCTTGCGGCACAGACGACTTTGGAGGAGCTCTTTGAACACCTCGCAGACATCCACCAGATTCCTTTCACTGTCGCAGAAAGAGCGCAGGTGAAACGAGACGAATCGACTCACGAAGAAGGACAGAAGAAGCGAATATATCGGTATGTTCCCAAAACGCAAAGTACAACCCGCCCGAAGGGAGATGATGGCTTTATACACCGAACCTCAGCCTCAATGAAGCAACAACTTGAGGCTCAGATCACTCGGAGATCGACCTTCGAATTGAAAATTCCACGCAATATAGCCCCGCCTTTAGAGGTGACACAAGGGAAGCGACTCGAAGCACGCGACTCCGACGAGGAAGATTCGGTGGGAGCAAGGATGGCAAACTATAGCGAGATGCCCGTCATAGATGATAGTCCTCCTCCACAGGCGACGCGACACTCGGAGGTCATGTCTAAAGACACACATGCACCCCGCGATTGTCCAGAAGCGGGATTGAATTGCCGAGATGATGTTTCCTCGCGCGGCTCGTGCCACACCATGCCACCTCGAGCAGAAAGTGATAACACGGAGGGGCAAACACTTGACGCTGTCGTAGTCCCCCTCCAACCCGCTCCAGCAGGAGGAAAGAAAAGACAGGTCTTGGACTCCTCCTCGGCTTTTGGCAGAAAGAAAGCGAAGTCTCTTGAGCTCTTAGAGACGTCATGCCGTAAGCGGCAGGTCAACATTACCGTCGAGATTCCGCCCCTGCCGGTCGATTGGTGGACCTCGAAAGAAAAGGGACATAATTCTCCCTCGGTGGCCAAAGGACATTCCTTGACCCGGCGTACACGGGGAGGAGTAGTGATGCCGTTGCCGAAGAAGCATCCGTCCAAGAAGCGGACCAAAACACAACCTACTCAGAGGCCAAGAGGGAGGCCAAGAGGAAGGCCGAGAGAAAAAATTCGCTGCGTTCGGGACCTTCCCCAGCCTTGTCAACCTCCTTCTGTCGACGATCATTGTCTGAGCCCGGTACGCTTCCGAAAACGAGCCCGAGAAGCTGCCAATGTAATTCTGAGCCATCAGCCTGATCAGGACGAATCCGCAAGTTCTACGATGACCCGAGAGTGGAATATCTCTGACCAAGATGGGATTTCGAGACCAACTTCGGAGCATGCCTCACTATCGATTCCCTCCGGGGGCATGTCATCTATCTACGTCGGCCTTCGAACGAAGATTCCCACCACGAATCCAACAGTTTCCCCTCGAGTGCTATCAATTCTCGGCTCACCCGATCCTCTGACCGAACGCTGCTGGGACCGCCCTGTCCGCCAATGGCCAGAAGATTCGCCCACTTCTCCTCTCGACGAAGGGGAGTTCCAGCACGATCCGCGGGTGATCCCACATGAGCAACTTCGGCAGATGAACGCTCATGATGATTGCTTGTTCTCTCAAATCTCTCCTGAATTTGCTCCAGCCATCTCTTGTACCAGTTTTCCCACGTTTCCCATTCCTAGTGCTGGTGCTGGTGAGACGACAGGCGTGGAAGCATTCCCGGAACTTCCCGCCCCATTAGCAGACACCTATGATTTCGATCGGTATCTTCGCTCTCCTTCTCCGCCATGTGTATCAATCTCGGAAGATGGGCACAATGCGTCTCACGGACGAACGCCGATTGATACTGCAAAAGACCTATGCAGTAATATTGTATCGCAGAAATACCATCAACCAAAAAACAGCGAAGGCTCAACTCTGAAGCATATGTGACGGAGAGAGAGAAATCCGGATTAAGAAGCGTATCGCTATTGCGTCTTACAAGAGTCTCGCGGGCGGCTGAGCTTACGATTTCTAAGATTCAATCGGCGCTCTTCAGGGATATTTTCGTCCTGTGAGAGATGAGTCATTACACATTCGCATGGGGAAGAGCAGAATCGACGCGGCTATCGTGGAGGCGACACAAATGGATAAGTCGAGTGGACCGGACGAGCTCTAGTTCCCGGCTCGCAGACGTGTTTCGATGCATGCTACATGAAGTGCATTAGTGACGAAAACCCTCCTTGCGAAGAGTTTTCTTTGGCTGCTGAGAAGAAAAGTGAAAGATAACCAGCTCGTCAGAGGGTTGTACTGTATCGCATAATCATACTTACAATTTTCAAAACATATTCAGCTCCTTTAATGACTGTCAGGACTACCACGCCGTGTATCCCACTACCAATCAATTGAGGTTGTTGAATATTTTCTTCGTGATGGATAAAACGCCCTAGTTTTGGTTCATCATCTTTCACTGGCTGAGTGGAATCGCACATCGGCTCTTCTGAGAGGTATATGCCAATGACGTTTTGTCCCATCAACTCAGCATTTCTGAGTTGCGCACCCATGATCTATCCAGGCATCCTTGTTGTGTGTAGCCCTCCAGCCCTGATTTTTCTTGTTCGCAAGTTGCATCAGCGTATAGTGAAGAGAGTGGGCGTTCTGCAAGATGAGGCTCTCGAAGGCGGTCGATTCAAAATCTTTTAAGTAAAAAGCGAGATGTTACACGTGTGGTCGAGGCAACAACGCAAGTCCTTCGAAGATGGTGATCAACGCGGACAGTTGCGCAGCGTAGATACAATGATGTGTAAGATAGGAAGGTTTCCCGATCACGTAGGCGCATTGCGGAGTTTACAAAGCATCAGTCACGTGTCAAATACTCAACAATGACTACACACATCATTATTACAGGATTGCGCCTCGATGACCATCAGCCACCCATCCGCCCCGCTACAAATGGCTTCGCCACATCTGGCCACATATCCTTTCCCCTCATAAAAGTTCGTCTAGATGATGTTCCAACGCCAACTCTACTCTGATATCGCTGACCATCAACTTGAAAATGTGATATGCACGATGGACCCGGACCTCAAATTATTAGTTGGTGGAGATGGCCTCCAGGTTGAGATCATGGCCTTTCATCAAGTCATGATAAATGCCAGCCCAGTATTTGCGGCAATGCTGAAACCAGATCAGTACAGGGAAGGCACACGCTTGGCTCAAGACAAGCAGCTTGAATTGCCTCTTCCTGATGACGATTCGGAGGCAATGACAGTTCTTTGTAATATTCTTCACTTGCAGTCACGGAAAGTTCCAACGAAAACCGTTACACCAGATCTTCTTGAGAATATAGCCGCCATTGTTGACAAGTATGACTTCACGAGAGCTATTCAACCGTGGCCGGAGATTTGGTTTCGGGAAGAGCACATCCAGAGCGAATTAAATCGAGTGGATGATCTTCCCGTGGATATGCTGCCGAAATGGATACACATATGCTATCACTTAGGCTACTCATGTCACTTCGGGATACTCACGTCGGCGTTGATTACCCGGATGAGCATCAATGATTTCAACCAGAGCTCAGTTATCGACAATTTCGGAATGCTTCCTTTTGTTATCCAAGGTGAGTGGCATGGCATCTCATCAAATCTGGGAATGATTTGCTAAAGAGGAATTTTATTCAGAGGAAATTAACACCAGGCGACAACGATGTGCCGACAGATTTCGACGGCTCAGTCTAGACCTAATTGACAGTCTAGAACAAGGGCAATCCTGCAAGACCATGGAATCGTCAGACTACAACGAGCGACAAGCCTTTGACTGCTCGTCCGTTCTCCTCCGAAATGCCATCCTCGCTTTAAGAGAGGCGTTCGGACCTGGTTGGAGGCTCGAGGAGGCGTGGACAAGTAGTCTCACTGAACTGTATCAGAAGATGGAGATGATATCCAGTAAATTAACTGGCCCATTACGGATCTGTGACCACTTCGGCTACAGAAGGATGCAACCAGAACTTCACCACGGCTGTACCAAGCAGACCCACTTTCTGAGTGCACTGAAACCAATATATGAGCGTGCAGCGACAGGACTACGACTGGAGGAATTGGGCAACGCTTTCTATCGTGAGATAGTTGAAGTTTAAAAGGGCGTATAGTATTAAGCCCTCGAGGGCCATCACTCTGATATGTCGCTTTCCATGAAGGCAATCTGTTCCAGAACATCAGCTAATTTGGTAGTCAGATTCTTAGCTTCCAATTGTTATGATTCCAATTTTCTTTCTCAGTGCGTATCTCTAGGGAGTCCTCAAGGAAAGCTCCTCCTCTGACTGGGCGCGTGATGGGAACACCATTGTGATCTCGTCGAAATGAATACTGCGACAACATACTGGGATCGCAATCGAGGAAGGGATATTGCACGATAACTTATCAGTAACGGAGATACAGTATACAGTAACACAACGCATTCGTTACGTGCGGACTATAAGCGTAATCGTGGACTTGATGTGCGTTTCGAGCAGCACTTGGAGAGCCGGGATATATCGCGATCGAGATTCTTGGGAGTCGCTAGACCTTCCAAAATGGTTAGGAGATGACGATGGCTTAGTTCGGCGCATCACACTCTGTCTCACCCGCGGACACGAACGTGGTTGGTTTATCATGACCTCTAACCAAGGTCCGTCTGGCCATCCTTGCAAGCTTTACGTCGTAATGACAGACCAATGAGATTGACATTCTCCCTGTGTTCCCAGGTCCAAGTCATATCCGAATCAGCTTGGCTATGTTCCAACAACATCCGCTCGACGTGAACGGGAAACTTCTCCGTCGCTTCTACGAACCATTGACTCTCCTTAGGGTGATAGATCCGACTCGTGGAGCACAGCGTCCTGATTTGACATTGGACCGTGGCTTGGACGAGCAGTCAAAGCTTTGGCGCAACTTCCTCGATCAGCTTGCATTCCTATGTGATTTCGAGAAGGGTGGGGATACGGTGACTGCCGTTGCCGTACAACGGACTGTTGAATATCCAATCTTTTCGCTCGCATCCAACTCAAAATCGAGAAACAAGGCAGCAGCCCATCTCCGCTGGATTCTCACCTCTCTCGGACAGATACATACGACCGAAAAGACAGCCCCTCAGGTGGAAGACGAGATAACCAATCGATGCATCGAATTCAGCCATCGAAGGATCAAAGTATATTCTGCATGGCTCGTTCGCGCCATCCGAAATGCTACGCGGACCACAGGTGAAGTCGTGAATGCTGAAGGTACACCAGACCTCTTTGCGAGCAGGAGACACTTTTGACAACAATATCTAGATGCATTTATTTTGAAGGAATTCCAGCAAGTGACGGATCTCGAATCCACTCCTCATCAACTATGTTCACATGCTCACACCCTCCGGAGAGGTAGACTTATGGAAATCCTTACCATCCGGCACGTTGCGCACTCACATCGTGGAGTCTGGTCTGACATTCGTCATTATCTCGGGCGATTGGGGTCGTGGTCGAAGGCCGTGCGCATTTTAATCCTTGGTGCCGCGACGTTTCCCCAGCGGATTGAAAATGCCCGAGTCGAAATCATTGGGACAAACGGGCCAGCAGATTTGCCGAACAAGCATCACTTGACTGATCTCAACGGTGTCGTAAAACGCATGGTTCCTGCCGACCAAACTGCTATGGTCAAACAGTTCAATCAAGCGCTCTTGGAAGCTAATTCGGTTGCTCAAGTTGAGGACAGATTTCGGGAGGAGTATGCGCATATCAAGCCCCGTCCACACGCTGAATTACTTCTTCTCGAATACTTCCATCGTAATGGACTTGACTTCGCCACAGATGATAGGTACATCGGCTGCAGCAAGCCTTCATGCTACTGCTGCCACATCTACATGCATTGCCACCCCGGCCGATTTGCGCCCCGGCCCTGTCATGGGAATCTGTGGATCCACTGGGCTCCTCCATACCCGCTTCCACTTGCTGACCGTGGTGCGCCGAAGAACGTAGGCCGGCCACAGGAACACCATACCTTCAAAATGCTACAGGAAATGCTTGTTTCCATCCGCCGAGACTTACAGGAACAAATATTGTCTAGGAGACCCAAGAGAGCAAGGCTACCAGATTCCACAACAGGAATGTCCAGTGTCATGCTTGATGTAGATGCGCTTCTAACTGCCGCTCAAAACATTGGTCAGTCCCAAGATGGCCACGATCACGATGATATGAACGACCTCAACGAGCCTGCGTCGGCACCGAACGATTTCGAGAGCGAAGCTACGGGAGATGGCGCCCGACAAGAAGTTATATCTAAAACCGAACATGACCTCAATGACAAACAGGAAAGAACTCATGATATGCAACGTAACGACCCAGAAGCCATTTCAGAAGGCGATGACGCAGGAATATTACTGTTCCGGGGAAGAAAGACTCTGATTCAGAGACAGGTTCAGATGTAGAACGCATATAGCTCTTGGCCAGCAGCGCGTTAAGGTCATCTCTAGACTCGTATGAGCATTGCCGAGGGGCCGACGTCAGCAGGATGAGCGACGAATGATCTAGCAGGGAAAAACAAGCCGTCTGGTCCTCCGGAATTCCGTCCCAGAGTATCGGTACTGTATCAGTCAGAGAGTTTCCCTGCAGCTTCATTCGTCCATCAGAGCAGCCCGTAGAGTGAAAGTGAAGGAGGAATTGCTAAGGACTTTAACACGTGACATCACGTGGCATCGCGTGACCACTGCTGACCCTTGGACCTACGTCAATGCTTACCAGGTCTTGGCTGCAGCAATGTGTCAGAAGAGTTACTGTAGCACGTCAGTCGAGCACCATGACCGAAGGTCATACGCCCTTGTGGTCAATTAATGCATGGCAAAGCGGGACGTATAGGTGTTACGCCTTTTGTCCTCCCAACGCAACTTCCCGCTAAACTTAGTATCCTTTCAACAAGGATCGTACTTGGGAAGATGAATGCAGTAGTGAATCCAGTTCAATTTCAAATCGTCTAAAACATATAGGATCTCCTCGAGCCAATATCTCTATCGATTCGCTGGAATATACCTGTCCTCGGGCATGTATGCGTTGTACCATTACTAAAAGCCCCTCACTTGAGTTGGACAAATCACATTAATTATGCACGAACCAGCGCATGCAGTTGGTTAAGGAAAATCTGATCAAGAGCTTCAACTCACATCCCTTTTGTTACTTTCAGAGACAGCTGCATTGCCCTTCAAGCTTGCCTAGTCACGCCATCATGGACTCAGAACCACCTGTGAAGGATTTCGCCTCATGTGTATCCTGCGACAGCATTATCATGATCGCTAGGCCTCGCCGTAGCGATCGAGGCAAGAAGAGGCTCGTCAATCCAATATACCAGATCACAGTTTGTTACACTTGCGAACGGAATGGTGCGGCAGTACCACCTCGAAAATCGAACGAGTTCTTCTCTGAGCAGCCGCCCTTTTATTGCCTGAGTACGTCTCTCGTGAGAAACTCAGCCAACTTCATTGCCACAGGCAAGATGCAGGAAGTCGGAATATCTCTGCGTGAGGAAGGTGGGAGAGTCATAATGACTCACAGGAGTGATATCTTACACAGTTATGATCCTGGATGCAGGATGACCACGATCCACGTGAATAAAGACCTTGAGACCACGACGAATGAGTCTTCATCGCTTGAGACAGGGTTTTTTTGAGGTAGGTGTCATCAATGATTTTGGGATTCGCTGGGAGAACTATCACTGACGCGTTTTCAGAATCACAATTTGTGTACGTCTCTATCGCTCCTCAGACCTGCTCTTACCATTCGAAAATGGATTATGGAATCCTTGCTATTGCTGCTCACTGCGCTGACATGCCAATCTGTACCATTCCAGGAATACCGCAAAGATCGCTGTAGATCTTTGTCTGGCTTTAACATCGGCGGAAAGGGCCCTGGTTGAACTCGGAGAGGAAGGAGGAATTTCACCAGCTTGACGCTTCCTCCAGCATGTAGCTACTCAACACAATCGCAATACCCGGAAGCCGTATTGTTCGAGATCTGTGCTCAAGCCCTTGAGGCTGTAGGACTCGTTACAGCTCTCTCAAATGTTGTGGTACAGATGGGAGGAACCGGGGCTTACCGGTGCAAGGGTAATGAATCATCTAGGGAGGATCTCCCGTTCGCGTTTGTCTGCATGCTCGAGAGGTGCGAACAGAATTTATTCTTAAATGGTATATTGTATTTACTGTAGCAAGAATGTTTGTGACAGCAATATACCGAGGGCGCAGTTTCCCCACCAGAACCCTCGAGGTTTCATGGAAAAATCACGTGCTGAATGCTAGTGTTGACTTGGCGCTGAATAATGTGATCTAATGACAGCTAGAATATCCGTACAGAAAGTGATGTAATTTACATGTACTGATAGATCTAAGTTAATTGGATAGCTTATTCATTTTCGGCCAAGCTATTTCTGGTAAAGCTCCTGACGCTAAATATTAGATCCCGCTATTATTCTATTTCCGTGTAGCTTGGAGTGACACCAGTTCCGCACTATACTGTAGGTCTGACGTCTGGGGGAGCGTCTTCTGACACATTCTTAACTCTGGTAATCCTAAATGCTGCTCCTATAAACTTGAGGAGGACATCGGCCATCTTATAAGTTACCCTATACATAGCTATAGAGCAAAGATTTCCCTCAGGACATGGTGGCGGTACGATCTAACATGTCTGGGTCCAAACAAGTAACCTCGAGATACATAGGTTCTATCTGGGCTGGGCAACCAATGATATGTAAGCCTATTTAAGAACCACAGTAAATACTTAGCCGTGCCGGATGTCGACCACCCTCTCGGGCGAGCCCCTACGGCGCGCACCACTAAATATCGGAGTTTCATTCCTGATAATACCGTGGATATCTGTAAAGCCTATCCTGAGTCAGGTACAGTGCAGAATCTACATAACTATGGTATCGTACAGTCTTGTACAGGACTAGTATACTGCACCTCATCTTAGATACAGTACTGTATCCAGCACAGTCTCTAGGCTACATTCACTCCTATCGGCGTCCCTCACCGTGCAGGAGCTGCACTCATCTTTACTGATAAGATCCTGCAGATGGGCTCCGACTCTATGGTGCAACCTATTTTCTCTCTCTTCAAGCTCTGGATCGTGCTCTGTTGGCTTCCTTTGTGTCTCTGCTTCGGATCTCCAACTGATGATAACGGAGCTTCTCGGCGTTCTCTTAGCCCGCTCTGTAATGGGCACGCGGAACTTTGCAGTCGCCGATACAGCAATGTGACCTACGTGACCGCCCACAATAGCCCGTTCAATCAACTTGGTAATCCCGGAAGTAACCAGGCAGAAAGTATCGAGACGCAGCTTAATGATGGCGTGAGGATGCGTACGACGCTTGCCACAAACTGAGCAAGTAAAGTGCCGCTCGGCTGACATCCCAGCAGTTCAATTCCAAACTCATTTTGAGAACAATGAGCTCCGTCTCTGTCATACGAGCTGCAAAATCTTGGACGCTGGTCTTCTCGTGGATCTGCTACGGAGACTTCGAGTTTGGCTGGCGAATCATCCAGATGAAGTCGTCAGCGTCCTCATGGGCAATGACAACTTCATTGAAGTCGGAAACTACACTGCCCCAATAGTCAAATCGGGCTTGATCGATTATGTGTACCACCCGCCAGCCGCGAACCTAGATCTCGACGCATGGCCTACCTTAGGGGACATGATTCAGAATAATTCCAGGGTGGTGATCATGTTGGACTACAAGGCGAACTTTACCCAGGTCCCATACATTATTGATGAATTTCTCGTCATGTGGGAAACGAAATTCTCTCCCACCGACCCGTCGTTTCCGTGCACTCCTGAACGGCCACCCCATCAAAGCGACGAGGTCCGGCGGACAAAGATGATGCTGATGAACCACAATCTCAATCAAAATTTTTCCATCAAGGGTGTTGAAATCCTCGTCCCTTATTGGACCAAATTGGACCAAACCAACGCGGATCATGGAAACGGTAGTGTTGGTGACGCGGCACGTCACTGTGAGGCCGCCTGGTCTCGATCTCCAAACTTTTTGTTGGTCGACTACTATAAGGATGGAAACTACCCTGGGTCGGTGTTTGCTGTAGCGGCTGAGGCGAACGGCTTAAAATACGAGCACTCCGACAGCTCTCATCAACTTACAGCTAAGATCACAGACGCAGCAATCGTGTATCTTGGCTCCGTCTTGATCTTATTGCTGATATGGGATTAAGCATAGAGATTTTGAGATTGGGCCATTGTCGTACTCCTGTATACCCAGGATTTCAACCATGTAAAGATAATCTAACTTCGATAGATAATTTATAGATATACAGTACTGTGTATAGTAGTATCGGGGTTACATTGCGTTTGTCACAATTGGTAGTCCGAGACTGGGAAATTTAAGTGGTAAGAGAAGACTGGATACGTTTTCCTAATACTGTCACCAATTTGGCATGATGGTATCGTCAATATGCCCTCCTACCGTGGAGGTTAGCATGACTTCCAATTATACAATATTTCATGAACTAAACGATTTTGTTTTCGAATGTGTTCCATATATCTCTTACCGTGGCACAATCGGAGACCCTGATCTACCCTTCCACTTCTAACTCTCAATCTGTGCGGACGACCTCATCGGAGTGAGAATTTTGAGCCAACGGTGTTTCCCTTAATTGGACGTTGATTTGTGTATTCGAGGTTTGGTGCAGAATAGTCATGGCGCACTGAAGAGTTGCTTGGCTCTCCGCAAGCGTCGTTTCCAGAAAAGCAACGTACGAGGACAGATGCGAGTTTCGAGTGTGTTCTTGGTTGAGCCGGATTAAGCACCACTGAAGATCAGAGTTTGCTTTGGACAAATGGGACATCAAGACGTTACAGCTCCCACAGTCAGATGTTGTCTCGGACATTTCGGCTTTGTGGGATAAGGACAACTTTGAAGGAGATGTTTTGTACGTAGATTATATCCTGAGAATTTCATATGCAGTAGTGGTACTGCGCAGTCTGAAACACGATGTGGCCTTTGACAATATGTCTCGGAGCATTGAGAAAAGCCTGTTCATTTCTAACCATGGACTTCTGTGGAATAATATCACTCACGAGCTTTTGTGGTGATAAAAATGTTGACAAGCTTTAAACTATAGGATTTACATTAGATTAATCTAGCCAGTCGTCCTCCAAAGTCTATATCCATGAATTCTAATATTCAGAGGCCAGCAAATCAACGCAGAGCTGAATGGCGCGCAAAGTGTCGTAGTCTACTCTCAGAACACATTAGTACGTTCCTATACTTTTGCTGAAGAACTTGAATTGATAACTAGAAACACGCCTGGGCATTGAAGTGGCGGCAACCGACGTACGCCTACTTCCAGGACCGGACGCTATATACGAGTGGGATTATCTGCCCGAACGACAACATTTGTTCCAAAAGCAAATTAGCAAGCACAACATTGCAGCATGTAAAGAAATCACCTCGGAGATCGGCAAATCCATTCACGCTACACTACCTGGGGTGCCAAAGCCGGTGCTAAACGAGCACGGAATCTCAGACAGTTCTCGTCCCCGAACCCGTCGCGACCCTACAAACCCTCGGAGCTTTTCATCTCTTATTTGCGAGCTCACTGAGCGCACTGAAATCCAATCTACTCAACTGAGAGAGAACAAACAGTTGATCGAAGCAAGGGATGAACAGGTCGCAGCCCTTCATCTGCAATGCGAGGATCGCGAGAGGGAGATAGCAGAATTCAAACGCCGAATTGCAGCGGCACGTATAAGGCTTGGTGATTTTGAGAAATCCATATCCACCTTTCAAGAACAAATCGCATCGATATTGTAATCAGAAGGAGATGTATGCCACAGCAGCTCATGACTCATTGAGACACACTGGAAATCATCAATAACAGAATCGTTCTGAAAGTCTCTGGATACAGACATCATTACAGTTGCCCATAGTCGTGTCACTTCATTTGACCAGAATTACTGCATAAAGGAGAAACTTGTCTCCAAATTTGTCTCTATGCTGTTCCATTGACGTCAACGCAGGTCTCCAAAAATCAAGGAAAAGATCTCGTTCTCGAATTTTCAATATGGGAAAGCATCCAAAGCCGTAGCAGACTTACAGCCTTGGTCGGAGCAGGCTGGGCAACAAAACCCTGGCCATGAAGACGTGCCCATCTGCCGAGGAGTCATCGTGGTAAATTGTAAACAGTGTTGGTCACAGAGAATGCAACCCCGATCAGTCAATGCATGCGGAAGCCGGCCACAGCATCTAGGAGTAGCCCCCCCGGACGTGCTATGAAGATCACTGCTACCAGAGTCGATGGCGTGGTGGAAATAGTCTCCCAATTTGACATCACTCAAGAGTCTCACATGTACTTGCTGTGTCTCCGCAAACATTGGCGTATATTGGGCGTTTACAGCGCCCGGCTCCGATGAAGCCATGTTGTCTTCCATCAACTTGGAGGTTTGAGACATACCAGCATGTATTCCTGCTGCTGGTGATGTGGAAAACGAAATCGATTCAACAATACCATACGATTGAGTTGTTTCCGTAGGGTAGCTTCCATGTAACTGTGTCGATTCAGCCGAGGAAGTTAATACAGTGGCTTTGTCACAGTCTGTGTTCGCCTCTGAAAAAGCATCGGTAGAGATAATTGACGTCTGTCTCTCCACACATCCCCGTTGGATCTCTTCTTGAATTTTGTCGAGCTGAGTTTTGAGATATCTGATTTCGGCACGATGTTCATCGATAAGTCGTCGGGCCTCCGTGAGCTGTTCGTCATTCCGACGCATGTCAAGTGCCTGCTCTTCCATACAGTGACGAATATTTATAAAGTCCCCTCCTGCCAAAGCTTGTATTGTGGGATCAGTTTGCACTGTGGTGGCCGAATCGATGGTCAGTTGGGCCATCTTCAACTCTCCCAGTAGCTGCTGATGGAAGGCTTCCGTTTTGCTCTTCATTTCGCCAAGTTGAGCCTCCAAAGAAGTGAAATTCTGCTGTTGCATGTGTTGTACGGCCAATAATTCTTGAATCTGGCCGATTCTGGTCTCCTGATTTTCCATCTTTTGTATCTCGACATCCATACTTTGCCTAGGTTGGGGCACTCCGGGCGGGTCTCTCACATCTTGAGTCGTGACTTTGACCTGCGTTTTGCTTCTTTTCTGTCTAGCTTGGCGCTTCTCCTGACTGGTCCTTTGTCTGGTGCCCGACAGTCGCCTTCGATAGGGCTTTCGTTGTGCCCTTACACATGTGCTGGCTTCCAACTCGGTACGCAGAGCCGTAACACAAGCGATGAGATCTTCTTTCGGAGCCACCTGCAGGCATGATTTCAAGTCGAAATCGCCATTCGGGAGCTGAATCTTCAACTTGGCCGACAAAACTGACGTCCAACATGTGGAAAGCCCTTTCTCCTCTGCGAGTGAGTAGACTTCAGCGATAAGCGCTTCGGGTGGCCATGGCGCCAGAGATTGTTCTGATACAGACGCAGCGGTGCGATGGGAGGCCATGTTTTGGAGAGAAAGGAAAGAGGGTTGTAGAGGAGGTGGGTGGGCGACGTCCGAGGCTTAAGTAGCCATCAGGACGCCAGGCCTCGACACAAGATGACGTGGTCACCCGCGTGACTATATCACGCTGTCGCCGCCGTCTCATCTCGTCGTGGCCCTTATTGGATGCTTGAAGCGTTCGCTCTGTGGCTATGAAGAGACTAAACCCCTTGTCACTCGCCTTGGTGCATGTGGGAAGTCGAATCAATGGTCCTACCAGCCCGCTGAAGATCTTCCTGTCCACTGGCTACATGGTCTTGCATCGGCTCCTGCAACCAGTTCGGCCGTGCCGAAGGAGGAGTGGTGTTCGCAACTTTGATAAGGATGGGCCGTCTTCTTTGCAGAAGCCCTGAAACGGAGAAATCTGTCCAGAGCGTTACAGTACAGTACAATGAACACATATTCAAGCTCTTCACCAATGCCATTTCTTTTGAAAGTGAACCAGATATACTGTAATAAATGTGATTACATTCGAACAATAACTGAACGCGAGGGGTTCTTTAGCCATGACCCTACGTATCGCCTTGGTGAGAATCTTTAAACTGTATCGCTGGGGGTGTTAATCAAAGAATGGCTTGGAGTGAAAGTTCTCAGTGACGGTCACTTTTCATATGACGGTCATGCTGAACATGCAGCGATTGCGTTAATTCCAACGCTGGCTCGTCGTAACCTATCACCTTCGCTACATGTGTTGTTACCTTGCCTGCTTTTACGGACGACCGCCGTTGTAGACAGAAGTGGGCCCCGCGGCTGAGTCGCGCTCTTCTACTCTTGGATTTTATTCGGCCGGGGCTCCGTGACCAAGCCCAACTGAGAATCTAAAGGTGAGAAAATGGACGGCAGGTTGACATACAAGGCCTGGAGATGTTGGGTGCCTATGCCTGACTCACCAACACTAGCTGTTCTAGCTTCGCCATCCTCTGTCAGGTTAGATACTAGACCTCTCTTCTCCTGGAGATATATTGTGCTACACCTTTGTGAAGGGGACAAGGGTTCTGTATGTATGTTTAGACAATGTTAGATAGGGGATGTTTGAGTGGAGTCACTGAGCGTGCCAAGCGATGGCTCGCGAACTTTTGCCGGGATGTGAGTGGTTCTTAGTGATCAAATGAACCACATAGTACTATACTGCCCAGTACCATACTGTAAAATCCTGAAAGTCTCGGATAGCAAGACCGGCGCACTACCACAGGCCTATATGGGTCCACATTGGCATTTATGTCTGAAACCGTGCTCGAACCTATCATGGCTACAGTTAGCGATGCCATTCCATGCCGAACATCGAGGTTGTTACTGTATGTAAGAAAGAAAAGAAAGTCGCCAACGCCACAGAAAGTAGAGGCACCAGCGATATCCTATCATAGACCTCGAAAACGGGTGGTCTGTTCATCGCGCCAGGCACTAGGGGCATTTGCCCGATTGCAAGGCCACTTCTCAACCCCACTGCATTTCGATTGGAGTATTTGTATCACCATTTTTAGCCATGCCTTCTAGATAGATCTCTGTATATGCATTATGAACTCCTTTCGAAGAAACTTTAAATTATAGGATGCGTTGACTATGCCTATTTCAGTGATAGTAAATTCACTAATGCCGAGGTAACTACTCCGCCTCCTCCTCCTGTGGTTTCTGTCATACCGGACAAATACAAAAATTATACTGAGTAATACGTGATATATACAGTCCCATGTTCACCACACCCCACGTATTAATGAGGCTATGAGAGGCTCTTATACTGCAGAAGCGCTAGCTTTCAGTAGCTATGAGAATATTTAGCCACGAAAATCACTGGTAATTCATTGTAGTGCTATACCAGTACTACTGTAGCGTCAGTTTGAATACACAAAAACTCGTACTCGCCTTGCCCGCTCCTCCCGCCACTGCTTATATCAGCTGCTGATCTGCGGCCCTGCCCAGTGAAATTTTCTCACTCTGTTGGATCGATTAGGTTCTGATGGCGCCCCTACGAAGCAACTTATAATTCACACGTTCCCTTCCCTTTGACCATATTATAGCAGAAAAACGAAGCCTCCCTCCTTCCCTAGCCGCACGCCGCCCTCACGACAAGCCGGGCCATTGTCTGCTCAAATATGCCCGCGAACTGCGACAAGGTTGCCCTGCAGAACTGGCATACCACAATATGCTCTACCTATTTCCGGCTGCTTCGACAATCAAAATATTTGTGCTCCTGACGCCCGCCTGCACCTAACTTAGCGATCGCTGTCACGGCTGCAAATCATGCGCTCCTATCAGCTGTTGTTCTACATCCGGCAGCTGCGGATTTCATTGACAGACGTCAGTCTTTGGGTCTGTGCTGTTTATCGATACCAGTAGAGTTGACAGTCTTCATGAAGGTTAGTACACGCACTGGGGTATGGCCAAAATCACATAAAAGCGTGATAGAGTTTGTGAGCGTTCCCACGGGATCTCCACCACCGGAGGAAGTGAGGCGACGATTATCTGTTGGGTAGCTTCGCCGAGCAGGTGGACATTTGGTCCTAGCATACTATTTCTCGAGATGCAGTCAGGCTACGTCGTGCGGCTCTCTAACAAGATACACTACCATTGAGCTCAAATCTTGTGTCGAGAGAGGTACGTACAATAATAGAAGTTCACTCCCCACGTACTGTACTGTATCTCCTTTAAAGTTTGTACTGTATTGATTCCACAAAGCCAAAATGTCTGAGACAATGTCTACTGTAATTGTGGGAGCTACAACACTTTGACATCCCAGCTGTCTAAAGCAAACTGTGATCTTCAATGGTGCCTAATCCAACTCGAACAAGAAAGCACTAGAAATTTTCACTTGTCCTTATATATAGCTTTCTTAGAAACGAAGTTCGCGGAGAGTCAAGCAACTCTTCAGCGGACTAAGACTCTTCTACACCAAAACTCGAACACACGATTCGCGAACACCAACTCAACGGATACCTCATAAGCCGAAAGTTGTCATCATGAGGTCGTGCGCACCGACTAGGAAAAGTTCGAAATGCAAGAATAGAGCCGAATCCTCGAGGAATCAATACGTATTGACCAGGGATGGTGCCACGGTAAGTGTATAATCCATACAAAAACACTCGAAAGAACTTCCAGCTTATAGTATATATTCTTAATGGAGATCATGCTAAGCTCCGAGATAGAAGAACACCGTTGACAAAAGTCATCATCCTAGAGTAGTGAAAGTGTTAGACAGCCATATCCAGATTTAATGCCGTACAGTGTTGGTTGGGGTTCCTACAAGTAATTACTGTACAGTACTACAGGGGTAATTTTCGTTAGTTACCTTGCTAACCCTCTATAGGCTAGACAGTCACGTGCCTGGTAAATTACCTGTTTCCTTACACTCTGTCAACCTGAGAACTCACCTCCTTGCCACCTAGTACTCCTGCAACCATGGCAGGTTCTAGTCCTCCACCGACGCCTAAGCGTCGTCGACTTACTCGAGATCAACGACGAGACATTCTCCTCATGCGACGACTTGGCTATACCTATCAATATATCGCAGAATTCCTGAAAATCTCACAACGCGCAGTTCAATATACCTGTCAACATGAGCAAGCCACTCCGCAACATCGTAACGCAGGAAGACCTCCTCGATTAACTAAGGAAGAGACAGATAGAGTCGAACAGTTTGTTACTCACTCACGAGACAATCGTCGAATGTCATATTTACAAGTTGCAGAGACCATGTGGCCTGATGGAGAGGTTGGTGCGGAGTCTATTCGATACGCACTCCATTCTCGTGGCTACTCTCGTCGAATCGCACTTCAAAAGCCTCCTCTTTCACGCGCCAATCGATTAGCACGTCTAGCATGGGCTAGAGAACATCTCACATGGACAAAAGAACAATGGGAACGAGTTTTATGGAGTGATGAGACATGGATAACACCAAAAGCGCATCGACGAGTATGGGTTACTCGTCGAGATAATGAGGAATTGGAGCCAACCTGTGTTGTTGAACGCCGACGACGCATGAAAGGTTTCATGTTTTGGGCCTGTTTTAACGGCAATCAACCAGGTCCTCATCTATTTTGGGAGAAGGAATGGGGCTTCATAAACTCAGAGAGTTATAGAGAACGAATTGTCCCTCTCATTGATGGTTGGATGTAATTCTCGATGCGAGAAAGGGCTATTTCGCTCCTATTTATGCAGGACAACGCACCAGCCCATAAATCCAAGGAAACAATAGAGGAATTCATGGCTAGGAATATCATTCCTATTATATGGCCCGTCTATTCTCCAGATCTCAACCCAATTGAGACCATATGGAACGAGATGAAGGATTGGTTGGCGCGCAACTACCCAGGTGAGCGCGAGGTTCCATATGAGACGCTCCGACAACGCATTATAGAGGCCTGGCATGCTATAGATGGGAGTAATCTGTTCCAATCGGTCGTTGATAGCATGCCTCAACGTTGTCAGGCTGTTATAGACGCCGATGGAGGCCATACCAGGTGGTAACAGGCTGTAAAATAGCAAGACCTCATTGTTGCCCTATTAGGTATAGATCAGGACCCATTTGGCGCGTAACTAACGAAAAATAGGCCTGTAGTACTGTAGCTGGTCATGCGGACTTACAGTACTTAGAAACTGGGCGGTGGGGCTGAGTGTTTCCTCATTGGCTATTTGCCGGATGATTGCTCGTAGATCAGTCACCATGCGAGGTTCTCTCCAAATCACTGTTCCCACGGATTCCGCCCCAATTTAGCGGTAGCAGATACTCCCGGTTTTGGATATTTAAGAGTGCACCATAGCTTCTGCCCGTATTGATCTTTGCCGAAAGCGCTTAAGTCCATCCTACAGTTGAATTTGGGATCCGCCGGGTTAAGAACGGGTGTATCTACCCACTCCCGCCCGGTGTCACGGAGTCCTATCATCTGACTTCGTTTGATCTTCACCAGCCCAGAACCGTCATCTCGGCAGGACAGACACATTATGCGGATTCGTTGGCCGCGTGCCTGAAA